GTCTGCATTTTGGGGTCACCGTGCAATTTCTGGCACAGAAATCTTCGCTTTTGTTGATTGTTTTCATCTCTTAAGTGATAGACTAGGTGATTTTGCACAGTCTTTGTGTTCCTAAATTTGAATGCAAACGCAAATCGCAAATGAAAGTTTCCTTGATGCCCTGCTCTAGCTTCTTTTGGCTAGCTTCTTCTGGCACAAAAGTTGATTGCCGCGGAATTACCGATGAATTTAATCGCTGATGTCTGACAAGGCAGCTTCTCCAAATGCTCCTTTCCTCTGCTTTGAAGAGTGTTTTTCCATATTCTAGTTAAAACAAACAGGCTGATGAATTACAGGTTTATTTATTTTATTTAAATGTGAAATATCTGTGCTCAACTTGACTCACTGAGTAGGCCTATTCAAGGCTATTCCGCTATCATTACTCTTTTTTCCCTTTTCCTTTACCATTTGTCTGCTGATTCGGTTTATAAGCTGCTGATGCTTCACAGCAGACTTCACTACAACAGATGTAAGTTATAAAGATATACTGTGAATATACACATATGATTGCACATTCATTCCCAGGAAGCTTTACTGTAGTGCGCTGGGGAGTTCTCTACAGCACCGCAAATGATCCCCGACTGCAAATGATTCTCAGACTGGAAATGATCCCTAAATTGGACGGCAAATGATCCCAAACCACAAATGATCCCCGATGTGGACCACAAATGATACGAGGAATGGCATGGAGTTTGGTTCCATGTTTTTATTTCTTTATTTTATTTTCATTATCCAAACAATAACTTAGAATAAATGTAAAGAAAAGATACTGACAAGCTAAACCACAATTTAAATATAATTCTCATGATAAATAATTCCATCTCATTTTCTTTTGATAATTCTTCTGAAAAATCACGGAAACAATAAAAGCTCGTAAACAATGGTACCGGCCATTTCTCAATTGGCTCGATCTACAACAATAATAGCTTAATGCTACCAGAATGAAAACATCAACAACTTGAATACATTTGTGTAAATACCACCAGTATCATGACATATTCATGATCCTTTAGTCCTATAGCTACAAATTATATTTTGTGGGCTAGAAAGCCCGCTTCTCAACCCTCCAGGCCGGTTTGGCTTTCACATCTTCAGTTTACAGCCAGAAATTCCACACTGATGATGTAAACATGTACTGAATCTGGACAGGGTCACTGATTGGTCAACTTGCATAGTTGAGTGATCTAACACTTACCTCCATTACCCTTGTTAGATGTATGCGGAAAACCAAGAAACAGGACATCATTACGAACTAAAAGTAGAATGGCAGCCGTAAGTTTTCATGCAGGATTTCCAGACCATAGAAGTCTTGCTTCCTGAACAACCTTAACGTGAAACATAGGTTACACCACTACAACACGATATCCGTTAGACTTTCTTGCTACTGACTTTTAAAATAGATAACAAGAGCACCCTGTCAGTCTCTAGCACCCAGAATATGACCAAAAATGCAGGCAAGAAAGTTAGATACTAAATTGAGATGGAGAATATTGAGTGACTTATCTGACTTTATTTATCAGTTTGCAATTTTCGCTTCGGTTAAATTGTTATGAGATGTTGTGGTATAGGCAAAGCCAATTACAAGGCATTCCGAAGAGCTTTTACGGTAATCTATCTGAAGGACTATTTATCATGAGAATTATATCGACATAGAATATGGTCAGTTATGGCTTGTTTCTGTTCAGTTTAGAAATTGAAACCTTGACCCGAGGAACAAACTCCATGCCATCCCTTGATTTCCGGCGGGATCATTTGTGGCCTACATCGGGGATCATTTACCATTCGGGATCATTTGCGGTCCAATTTAGGAATCATTTCTGGTCTGGGGATCATTTGTGGTCGGGGATCAATATGTGGTGCTGTACAGTTCAAAGCTGTGTTTTCTTTGGAGGCAGGTTTATTTTTGTGTGAATTACCTCTGTTTAAATGAATTAATAGGGTATGCAGATTTATTGGATTTTAACAAAACTTGGCCAAAATCTCTGTCAGATGTTAGCGCATCGAAGTGTGTGAGGCTTTTGCAAAAATCGAAATATTTTTCCTGTGATGTCCAATTGAGTAACAGCAGTCTGAAAATTTTCTATTGTCCAACTTTAAAAGGGATTTCCTAAGCAACTAAAGCCCTGGTCAAACGGCCCATGATAGTCAATGATAGCTGATTCTCTCCTAACTATCATCAACTATCACCAATTATCATTCACCTAGTCAAACGGCCAAAGAAGTTCGTGATAGTTGACGATAGCAGCTAGTTCCTGGCTCTTTCCGTGTAGAAATGTAAACACTAAAATGACGTCGCATGAGACAAACCTGTAAAAAGTATGAATTTTTCGCAATGAAAGAGGGTGGCAGCTTAAATTGTTTACCAGTAATCGATTTGTTGGAGGAATGTATGGAAAATGAATCTGGAGAGTGTTGGTGGAAGAGAGGACAGATAAGAGAATGGATCAAAAGGAGAAACGGAACCAGGATGTTGAAATTGGTGGAAGAATTGCGAGTGGTGGACACTGCCGCTTACAACGAAATGTTGTGCATGAACTGTGAAACATTTGGGGAAATATTGACTGCTATGGGGTCTGTGACTATCAAAACAGCTGACTGAAAAACTATCATGAACTATCATACGTGTGGTCAAACGAGAAAAACTATCATCCACTATCATGAAGAATTTAAACAAGCTCAAAATGAATGATAGTTGATGATAGTTGATGATAGTGCATGATAGTTGGTGGTCAAACGGAAGTGCTCGCTTCAACTATCATCCACTATTGTCAACTTTCATCGACTATCATGGGCCGTGTGACCAGGGCTTAATAGAAATATCGAAAAAGCCTCACACACTTTGTTAGCCCATTATCTCCTGATTGATAATGTCCAGTCAATTTGGATGTCCGTAGTAACACAAAGGCTGGTAATTCAGTTTAGCAAGTGTGGTCATTTTGGTGTTTAAAGGCTTGTGCGTGCCTATCAAAACAAAAATAGCAAACTATATTGTTATTTTTGGATTCTGCAGTTGATTAGCTTTTTATTGATATTTAGTTTACTGTGGTTTTCTTTAAGGCAGCGTGTAAAGAAGGAATTTTTTGGAAGGTACCACTGGAAGGTCTACAGTAACCTTAATACATACATGTACAATCATATAGTTTGGACTGACTGAGGTAAAATTAATTAAAGGAGCTCAGTCACGGTTTGTGCATATTGAAAAGTTCATTGTTTGTAATCCGTGTTAATCTTCTCCATCCTTTTTCCTTTATGGTGTATCATTATCTCTTTGGTGTATTTCTTTCTTATTAAACTGTTATTTTCAGGTTTCCTACCATTTAAAGGTAATTTTGTATGTGGCCAAAATAACTTAAGCTCCTTTAAGTTCAGTTGAAAAGTTAAGCAGCAAAACTAATTGAGCAAAGTTAACAGGTCCATATTTCATGGCTACCTGTTCCAAATAAGAAGATTGAATGGAGGGAAATCTTTGAGGATGTTGTTTTCAACAGATTTGACACTGCTGATAGTGATTTAAGTGATAGTGATTTTTAAGTCTCTGACTACCGCCATATCCACATCTCATCTCATCACATCTGAGTGTTGACAAAACCTGTCCAAAATTCTTCAAGAATAAATAGGGGATATACACATGTACCAGAATCTGTTGTTTCAGAAAGAGCTCTTTTAAAACATGCTAACTTTTTTTTTGCTCCTCCCTCTATACTTTTCCGCTATTCCCCCTACTTTTCTTGCTGCTCCCGACTTAAGTCATTGAGATACTACTATAAGCAGAATTAAGACCGTTTGAGAGGTTATTGAGCTCAAGAAAAAGAATGGTTTCACTTTAACCTTTGGTAGAGATTTGTTGGTCTTATGCCTCTTATATCATTGCCTGAACCAGGGTTGTTATTAGAAGCCGGGACTCGGTTAGTGGCACCCGTCATAGGGTTTCCAGTGTTTGTGTTGTTTGAAAGAAGAATTTAACCATCTGTTTTTTTTTTTGTTTTTTTTTTTATGTAGCGAGGCAATGCTTTCAAGGACCTTTTTCTATCACAGCTTTCTCTCGACAGTTATCATTTTAGTCTCTTTCAACTTGATCTCTCTGTTACTTTCTACTATGTTGCACTAAGCCGTGGTCCTCTTTCCAATGCATTGTTTGGCAACTCAAATACTAAAAAACCCCTCCTGAATTGCTTCTTTATTTCAGACCAAGATCATACTACTGAATGAATGTAGTTGATCCATTACTCCGAAGTACTCCATATAATATTAATGAACCAAGCCAAGAAACATTGTTCACCACAAACTAATAACAGTCAGCCAGAAAATAGAAACCACAGGTGTGCAAGATCTGCAACAATCTGCTGTTTCGCAACTGACGACCCAAACTACCAGTATTCAAAACATAGCTTTTAAAAGACAGTTCTTAGCCTCAAAAAAAAAAAAAAAAAAAAAAAAAAACAAGAAAAAAAAATTAGAAGAAGAACCTGTAAAGACAAAAATTGATTCTTAATTATTTATTTATATCTCATGATGAGATGTTGGGTCTCAAAAATTAATGTAATAAATGTCCCTAAATGTGATAAGGGTCCTAAATGTAATAAAAGTTAGCCCTAAATGTAATAAAGTTTCTAAATGTAATACAATTTGGCCCTAAATGTAATAAAGGTCCTAAGTGTAATAACTTTTGATCCTAAAAGTAATATATTTTGGCCCAAAATTTAAGAAAGCCTCAATGTGATAAAACCTCACCTAAACCTGAACTCAGAGTCACTGTGGTAAGTAGAAAATAATTATTTAACTGTTTGGCCTTGTGCCTTTCTTATGCAAAGGAATAAAGGCAAAAATATTTTACGTTAATGGCAATTGCAATTAATGTTCTTTAATATTCAGATGCCACAGAAGTGAGTTACACTTCACTTTATCTTTATTGCATGTATTATTTTACAGGAGTCAACATCAACAGACCTTGAGTTAATTATCAACAATAGAAGGTATAAAATTCAATGAATGTCTTTTAAAATGTTTTGACACATGAATCATTGAGTCTGGTGAATGTCCATCATCCCTGCTTCCTGTTCTTTTTTGAAGCTACTCTTTATAAGAGCTTGTTAACATGTAAAGGGGCTGCTTGGCTAACTGAGATACCTGGCTACAACAAAGGCCTCCTTTGGATGCAAAATTCACAGCCCTTCTACCTGAGTTCAGAAAGCGTCATTGAAGTGTGACGTGGTAGGGGAAAACCATCTAGATCTCATGGCGTGTATGTTTTATCATTGACATTTTTACAGTTAAGGTTAGTTTTTTCCAGTTTCTATGCCTAACAGTAAATTTTTGCCCATTTTGCAGCTAATGGTTGACCCCATAGAGACCATCATGTTATACACTCGAACCTCTCCATACGGACACCCCTCTACTACGGACACCTCTCTAATTCTCTAATTCAGACAGCTTCCTATGATTTTTACAGACACAATTCGCATACATTTCCTGTAAGAAAACCTCTATAATTCGGACCCTCTCTAAAGCCGAAAACGGACACTAAATCATGGCCCCAGGGAGCAAATTCATACAAATTTAACCTCGTAGTACGGACACTCCGGGGACCAGGTGTCAATAGTTTGCAGAAATGTGCCTTTTCCAGTCGTCGGTAACACAGCGATACCAATACCAGAACATCATGTCAAAATGTTAGTTTTCAAAACTTACATTATTTCATTCCTTTGAAAATACTGTTGTAATAGCCAACTCAATATTCTGCATACAGTGCAGTTCTATACAACTAACAATTTAAAACAACATGTAACTGATAAGTACAACAAAGTTAATCAATTTAGATTCATGAATTCACAAGACACTCATTTTTGGGCCTGATTTTAGTTACTAAACACTCTAAATTATCTGTGGAGACTTAAAAGTGATGTCATCATAGTGACCTCTCTAATACGGACACTTCGCTCTGTCCCTTCGGTGCCTGTATTAGAGAGGTTCGACTGTGACTGTTTACATACATGCAAAAAAATAGCCTGCCCATAAGGGTGCCCCAAAGAAAGAAGACAGGGTGGCTCGATTAGTACTCTGTTTTCAAAGTAAACACGTCAACAGGTTTTGTAAAGAAATATGAAAATTGGCAGCCCCTAACCCCTTGAGCATTTTCGGACATGAGACAATCCGGTTTGGCTTGAACGTCTCTAGCATATTTTTTCAAATCCGGTGTTCTATTCCCCTCCTGCTCCTTATTTTTCATTTTGTTCCACTGCGACTGAGCTTGTGCCTCTGCTCTAGTAGTCGCTGTACGTAATTATTATAATTACGGCAAATAAGGCATCGTGTACAACTTTTAGACTCCCTAAATACCAATATGGCAGTGGGTGACCTTATTAGATTTAGGACCAAAAGTTAGAAACTACCCTCAAATGGATAATCACAGTACACAAGACAAACAACTGGTACATGTAGTTCTGAGTTGAAACCGTTCGCTCAGCAACTAAAATTAAAGCTGAATAGGCAGTTAAAAAAGTGTAGCTGAAGTACTGAAGTACTGAGCATATAGTATATGTACACACATTTCATTGGTATCTTCCTCACAAAAAAAGCACATAGGTTTTATTAAAATGCAAGTTATGTAGCACCCTGCAATCAGAGCCTTTCCTTGTGGTAGGTATGTTTTGTGTCTTCTCTCCACTCACAAAATGAGATGAAAGAGGTTCTGCTTACAGGGTGGTAATGTAGATCCCCCAAGCCTGTTGCTGAAGTAACGTTCATTGCCTATTACTCCTCTCCCTTGAAATCTCCAGTCATCCAACTTCCACCCTTGTCACCAGTCAATAAATGATGATTGGCTACTTACTTGGTTTCTGTTTCCACAGGAGACTGAGCTGTTTAACAGACTCCCATCCTGTATAAGCAAATATACTGGATATGCAGCAACAATGTCAGGGGAATATATACAAGATAAGTAAGAAATTCACAGAACAGTATCTGTAGGTCACACAGTTTGCTACCCTTAGTTGTCCTGATCATAACTATCCTTACCAAATTGCAAATTGGAGACATTTTCTTATCAGAACATAATTTGCAATTTAGGATTGGTATCACCAGTCCCCAGTTTGCACTAAAATACCTTCAGGCCAAGAGAACGCACTGAAACAAATTCATTTGTGACCCCAACTTTTTAGCAATTTAGTGTCTGGATTCAACTTCCAAAGAAAAATAACAAGTTACTGCTATCACTCTAACTCCCTGTGTTTCTTGACCTGTAAAGCAAACACTGGTCCTTCTTCCTAATTGTACAAGAGAAGGAATTTTTTTCGGCCCTTGGACTGTCTGCATGCGTGGAATGGATCTTGAACTTTGCACAAGAGACGGGTGTAAGACCTGACCTGCCAAGGAGTTGGCTCCGCCCAACAAGTTCTCTTCCTGAGTTTCTTGATCTGTGAAACAAAGACTGGTCTTCCAAATTGTAGAAGAGAAGAAATTTGTTTTGGCCCTTGGACTGTCTGCATGCGTGGAATGGATCTTGAACTTTGGACAGGAGACGGGTGTAAGAACTGACCTGCAAAAGAGTTGGTTCCACCCAACAAATTCTCTTCCCGAGTGTCTAGATCTGTGAAACAAAGACTAGCCTTCCAAATTGTAGAAGAGAAGAAATTTGTTTCGGCCCTTGGACTGTCTGCATGCGTGGAATGGATCTTGAACTTTGTACAAGAGACGGATGTAAGAACTGACCTGCAAAGGAGTTTGCACCACTCAACAAATTCTCTTCCTGAGTTTCTTGATCTGTGAAACAAAGACTCGTCTTTCAAATTTTAGAAGAGAAGAAATTTGTTTCGGCCCTTGGACTGTCTGCATGCGTGGAATGGATCTTGAGCTTTGTACAAGAGACGGGTGTAAGAACTGACCTGCAAAAGAGTTGGTTTCACCCAACAAATTGTCTTCCTGAGTTTCTTGATCTGTGAAGCAAATGCTGGTCTTTCAAATTGTAGACGAGAAGAAATTTGTTTTGGCCCTTGGACTGTCTGCATGTGTGGAATAGATCTTGAACTTTGTACAAGAAATGGGTGTAAGACCTGACCTGCAAAGGAGTTGGTTTCACCCAACAAATTCTCTTCCTGAGTTTCTTGATCTGTGAAACAAAGACTGGTCTTCTAAATTGTACAAGAGAAGAAATTTTTTCTAGGCCCTTAGACTGTCAGCATGCGTGGAATGGATCTTGAAAATAGTGTTCACTAACATCTTGTTGCTTTGAATTGGTTTTAAATTCAATTTTACTGTCAGCTGATCTGTAAGAAAATTGTGAAGTTTCCTCTGTTTTTAGTACAACAGGGAGTTAACAGGGAAAATTTAAGTCTGGTATGGCCAAGTGAGATCATACAATGTAACTGAATTATGAAGCTAATTTTTTGTTTGTTATTCCTTCCCTCGTGATATACAGGTGTAGAGCTGTATTTCAAGTTTTCCATCATCGATACTTAGTTGTAAAAAAAGTCAATTAGGTAAGAAAAGTAATGATGTAACTGAACCTTCAATTTTTGCTACATATAGTTTACTCTTTTGAGGGTTGTTGGACCCATCTTTACCTCCCTTCCTGGCCAAAAAAATTAATTTTCTTGACTGTGTCTGGCATACAATGTACAGTATGTGGAGTTTAAAATGCTGTTGAGTTTTGATGACGTCACGTGACAACGCTTTGTAGTGTGGAATTAAATATAGTTTGAAACCGTTTAGATGAGAGTATGTAAACACGAATTTTTGGAAATATTTTATAAAAGTAGTAGAGGACATTTTTCTGTGTTTATATTGCCTCATCTAAACACTTNGGGGGGGATAACTGCCTCGTATTCTCCCGGCCCCCTCTTATTATGTTAACCAGGAAAAATTCCTCTTTTTTCTCAAATAAGAAAATAGAAGAGTTTTGTCCAGGGCACTCTACATCTCGGAAACTCGTACTGCCCAAAATAGTCCACTCGTGGAAACAATACAAACCTGATTTGATATACAGACTCAATCCGGAGACGTGAAAGATGTTTTTGGATCACCAGTGTGCATGTTGTCAACGTTTCCAGTTTGCCGTCAAACTGTTTGGGTGGGGTTGAAAAATACGCGCTCCGGTCATTTTCAGCCGACTTTGCTCCTTAAAAATGTAAGATGTTACAATTTCCACCCAGCTACTATGTCATTTTCACAAATTCAGCGAAGAAAATTTGATTATTCAGACCACTTAAGCTCTGACAACTAACACTCACTTCTAGTCAGCTGATAGTGATGTGTTCATAAACTTAGACGTGTTTATGGCAATTGTGATATGCTTCTGGTTTTACAAAATTTGCATTTTTTTGCCGTAATAAGTTGGATTTGTATTTGTAGCAGCACTTCTTAAAAGAAGAGTAAGTGAGAATATAGTACCAGTAACCCATTTGCCTGAGATTTGTTCCTCTTGTGCAAGGGCGAAGCCAGGATTTTTCAAGTGGGGGCGGAGGGGAGGTCACACTGTGTGAAAGTGAGGGCACTCATCAGATTTTCATGTAATATATCAAAAACGAGTGCGAGTGTTTCATCGGGGTTTCCAAACACGAGAAAACTGATGAAAGGACGAGGCCGTAGGCCGAGTGCTTTTATTGTTTTCGAGTGTTTGGAAACCCCGATGAAACACGAAGCACGAGTTTTTCAAATAGCTTCTCAAACAAGCATCATGAACCAAGAACAATGAAAAAATGTCTCACTGATTTGGCAACATAACACCGAATATAAATTATTTTTTTGGTATTGTTTTAGAGTTTGTGTGTTTGTGTCATTAATATTTAAATTAGGATAACCCTGGATCACAAGGGTTTGACCTTTTGTCAAACTCTAGAGTTTGATATTTCATCAAGCTATCGTGGAAAGGCCTCTGTCCAGTGTTTCATCGGGGTTTCAAACCACACGCACCTGACCAAATTGGCGTATCCTGGTTGGCTTGTAAATGCATGAATTATTAATGAGTTTGAGAAGTCGTTTTCGCCACCTGTTGTAGCTTGTTTGCTTAAAAAAGGCTTACAAAAGGAGGGGTTACGGGCACCCCAGGATCCCCATAGCTACGTCCCTGTTGTGAGGGTGTGTAAGGGGGGGGGGGGGGG